TGAAATAAATAGAAAAAAGAAAGAGTGTGGCACCCCACCCCCACCCCCCACCAGCTCCCTCTTTGGCCACGTGATATGAACTTCCCCTTTGCCTTCTGCCGTGATTGTAAGCTTCCAGAGGCTTCACCAGGAGCTGATGCTGGTAATGTACTTCTTGTACAGCCTGCGGAACTAAGAGCTAAATAAACTTCTTTTAAAATAAATTACAGAGCCTCGGGTATTCCTTTATAGCAATGCACAGTGGACTGACACACCATGCATAGGGGAAAATCTGCCTGTTCAACCCACAGCTCCCTCCTGAGGGACCCTCACCTACCAGGAGGCAGTCAAGGAAGGGGTCAGCTCTTCTCTTAATACTGATGGTTAACTGTTTACAGGCAACAAGGAGTTTAACACAGGTGAAAAAGAGTTTCCTCCTAAAGAAGATGTATAAATAGCTAAGAAGCACAGGAAAACATGTTCAACATCATTAGCCATCTGAGAACCGGAAATCAATATTGCAATGAGATACCGCTTCACACCTGCTAAGATGGCTATTCTCAAAAAGACAGTAACAAATAGTAGCGGGGACGTGGAACAACTGGAACCCTCATAAACTGCTGGGGACATGGAAACACTCTGGAAAAGGGTCTGGAAGTTCCCCAAACAGTTAAACATAGAGTTACCATATGGCACCACAATTCCACTCTTATATATCCAAGACAGATGAAAACATATGTCCACGTGAAGACTCGTACACGGATGCTCAGAGCAGCATTGGCCAAAATGGGGAAACAACCAGGGGTCCATCAGCTGACATCTGAGTAAATACATCTGAGTAAATGAGTAAATACAATGTGGTCTATCCAAGCAATGGAATATTATCCAGCAATGAAAAGGAAGCCAGTCGCAAAAGAGCACATATTGTATGATTCCGTTTATATGAAATGCTCAGAATGGGCAAATGTATTGAGACAGAAAGTAGATTACTGGTGGCCTAGGGCTGGGGGAGTTGGCGGATTGGGAATGACAGCTAAGGGGTACTGGTTTGTAGTTTTGTTTTGTTTTGTTTTGTTTTTTTTGAGACGGCGTTTTACTCTTGCTGTCCAGGCTGGAGTGCAGTGGTGCAATCTTGGCTCATTGCAACCTCCGCCTGCTGGGTTCAAGCAATTCTGCCTCAGCCTCCCATGTAGCTGGGATTACAGGCATGCACCACCATGCTCAGCTAACGTTTGTATTTTTAGTACAGACAGGGTTTCACCGTGTTGGCCAGGGTGGTCTTGAACTCGTGACCTCAGGTGATTCTCCCACCTCCGCCTCCCAAAGTGCTGGGATTACAGGCATGAGCCACCGCACCCGGCCGGGGTACTGGGTTACTGTGGTGGAGGGTATTGAAAATATTTTCAGCTTGATTGTGCTGATTGATGCACAACTCTGTGAATATACTACAAACCAGAAAGTGTACACTGCAAATGGATGAATTGTATGTGAATTTTATCTCAATAAAACTGTTTTTCTAAAAAGGAAGTTGTTTCTCCCTGGCAGACCTTTTGTGGGAGAATAGGGGACAAGAAGGCTGAGCCTGGGGCTGGGTGAGGTGATGACAGCGGGCAGATGGGAGTCTGAGCCAAGATCTGGGTCTCTGGATCCAGTCATGTACCCTTGGGCCCCGGGGTTCAGATCCAGAGACTCAGGGAGGGCCCGGGAGGGATAAGAACCCTGAGCCAGGGCCGGGTGCGGTGGCTCACACCTGCAATCCCAGCACTCTGGGAGGCCAAGGCGGGCAGATCACCTGAGGTCAGGAGTTTGAGACCAGCCTGGGCAACATAGTGAAACCCCGTCTGTACTAAAAATACAAAAATTAGCTGGGTGTGGTGGCAGGCGCCTGTAATCCCAGCTACGCAGGAGGCTGAGCCAGGAGAATGACTTGAACCCAGGAGGTGGAGGTTACAGTGAGCCAAGATCATACCACTGCACTCCAGCCTGGTGACAGAGGAAGACTGTCTCAAAAAAAAAAAAGAAAAGAAAAAGAAAAATAAATAAATAATAATAAATAATAAGCAAAATAGATGTGGTGAGGGAGAAGGTCGTAGATGTGAAGGCTCCAATGATAAGGATTTCCACAATGAGAAGGAAAGATGGCAGAATGGTAACAATGAAAGAAACAGAAAAGGAACTAATGCCTTAACCGGAAGAGAGACTTGAGCCTGCAGCCTGCAGGAGCGCTGACCTCGGCATTCACCACGGTGGCACCTGGGCAAGTTCCTGGTCCCAAGGTTACAAAGAAAATCTCCAGCACCCACAAAGGAAAAGCCAGTTACTTAAAAGGGAAGGGAGACAGATCACGACCAGACTTCAATTCTACAACACAGGGTGCTAGAACATAGTGGGGCTTGGACCATGAAAGAAAAGGTCTGCAGCTCTGGAGCCCTTCCGCCGGCCAGTATACCACTCACCAGGCATGGCAAAAGCTAGCCATTTGCAGATATGCAAGGCTCTTACAGTGTGTCTGCAGAAGACACCCATGAAGTTTCTCTAACTACAGCAATCCATCAAAACAGAGACCTCAAGGCAGTGGGAGATGGAAAGGGGTTACAGCAGTGGGCAGTAGATCTGATCACAGGTGTGGTGAAGCAGTAACAGATGGCGGTACACCCAGCAACGGTAACATGTGCAATCTAAATAAAGGTTCTTGAGGCCGGGCGTGGTGGCTCATGCCTGTAATCCCAGCATTTTGGGAGGCCAAGGTGGGAGGATCACTTGAGATCAGGAGTTCAAGACCAGCCTGGGCAACATGGTGAAACCTCATCTCTACTAAAAATACAAAAATTAGCTGGGGGCGGTGGCGGGCACCTGTAATCCCAGCTACTCGGGAGGCTGAAGCAGGAGAATCACTTGAACCTGGCAGGTGGAGGTTTCAGGGAGCTGAGATTGCACCACTGCATTCCAGCCTGGGCAACAGAGCAAGACTCCATCTCAAATACCCATACCTACATACATACAATTAGTTTATCAAAATAATTTTGATCATGCTGCAGAGATGACTAGTGAAGTCTGAAACTAAGTCCTAAACTATCTTGGCAAAACCAAGAGGTGGAGGATGGGAAGGATGAAGAGAGGAGTAAAAGCTTTCTAAAGACCCCATCTCAGAATAGTTGGAGGGCAGGAAAATACTTCTTAGGGTGTT